GTAATAGAGATTAGGTTGAGAAAAGAAAAACCCAGCTGGTGAGATAGCTCAGCAGTCTAAACAGCCTGCTTAGGCAAGCTTAGGCAAAGCACAGGAATGGAGGTTAGATGCCTACAACACCTGCCATGCCAGCCCCGCCCCCCGGGCAATCTGAGCCGCCTCCCTCCCCCCCCCAAAAAAAAAAAGAGAAGAAAAGAAAAATCTTAAAATTCTAATTGTTTCTGGAGTTTTACCAGTTTTCATTATGCACCTTTTATTTCAAATTAAAATAGAATTGTATAAAATTGTGTCTTATTCTGCTTTTTTCTGGAAACTTAAGAATTAAACAATAGAATATTGACAATAAAAATAAATTGAAAATTATCAAGATAATATAAATTAAGGGCAAAGTAAAAGTCACTTCTTCAATAGTTCTTTCAGATTTTAAGTGAAGTCTTGCATCATTATCTCTTGTCTTTGTCTTCTGTCTGGAAAGCCATTTAACAAAAGGATAAACAAGATGTCCTGTACTAAAGACATGCTTCGGGTTCTCTTTTTGCAGATAACAAAGAGCTGTTCCTTTCCAAAGCAATTCACAAGTCCTTCATAGAGGTTAATGAGGAAGGTTCAGAGGCTGCTGCTGTCTCAGGTACAGACTCACTTGTTTCCTAAAATCTCTGCTCTTCTAGATTTGTTTTCAAAGCCATCTTGGGTGGGGAGGGGACTATTTTCAGAACCAAGCCAAAAGTTTGACTCTGTTCCAAGGTAGAAGTCAAGCAGATGCTGAAGCAGCCAGAAATTTCTAAATAGGACGTGAAGTGTACATGCACTCCGCTGCCCCTTTACAGCATAACTCCATTTCCATTTTCTCCCTAATGAAAATCAGCACACATCTGCAGCTCTGCAAGAATAGATATTTGCGCTGTGCTGCCTGCTTAAATATTTCTCTGCTGCTCATTTAATCATTTTCTTTCCTAATTACTCTTCGAAGTTGGTTCTTAATTTTGGTAATGAAAAGTTTTAATGTTAGAAAAGCATAAACATAAACAAGAATATATAATGGGTGTAATAAATATTCTTAAATATTTAAAACTGAATGGTACTAATAAAATCATAATTTTAAATGAAGAATTTTTAAAAATTAACCTAATCACCTCCCTAAAGTACCTAGTTAACTGAGAATCATATTTTTCCCTTGCATTTTCTTTTTCTTTATTTCTTTGGATTTGCTTTAGTGGGATGTTCAATAGCTTTCATTAAATTTTACCAGAAAGCCTTTGGTGAAATGTCAGCTTATTTGCCCACATTTTTTAAAATTAACTTTTATTGGTGCATAATTTTCACATTCATCATAAGGAACTTGTACCTGTACAGATTATATCTTAGCTTTTGCCCATTCCCATCCCTCCCTTCAATCTGTCTTCCCCTTGCCATTTAAAAGCCTTTGTCTCCATTGTTTTCTTTTTTGTTTCAATCCATGTTCCCTTCCTTCCCTCACCTCTTGCTCCTCTTTCATTTGAGAATTTTCTTCCTACTTCCCAATATCCATCCTGTATTGTGCTCATTATTTATCACTCGGGTTTCTCATGCAGCAGAAACAGTTCAGTATCTAAGTGTGTGTGTTGAGTTTAGTTCACTGAACATTATGTTCTCAAGGTGCATCCATGCACAAAAAAATGCCTCAAGTTTATCTTCCTTTATGGAAGAGTAGTACTCCATTGTTTATAAATACTATATTTGTCTGTGCATATATCAGTGGCATATGGGCTGTTTCCAATATTTAGTTGTTAGGAATTGTGCTGCCATACACAGGGGTATGCATATATAACTGTGCCGTGATGCTTTTAACACTTCCAGGAATATCCCTAGAAGGGGACGAGCTGGGTTGATGGAAACTCTACTTTCAGCTTTTTCAAGAATCTGTGTAGCAATGTCCATAATGGTTGCACCAGTCCACACTCCCACCAACAGTAGAGAAGGGCTTCTTTTCCCCGCAGCCTCACCAATATTTATTACTGATTTCTTGATGGTAGCCATTTTTTTCTGGAATCTCAGTGTTTTTTGAATTTGCAATTCTTGAATGACCAGTGATACTGAACATTTTTCCTATTTTATTTGCTGTTTATACTTCTTCATCTGAGAAATAGCTATTCATTTCAGATGCCTATTTTTGGACAGAGTCATTAAATTTGGGGTGGGTCTGATTTTTTCATGTATTGTGGACATAGTCCTTTGAGGAATTGCTAGTAAAAATTTGTTCCCATTCTGTGCTTGGTCTCGTCCCTCTGTTGGTAATTTCCTTCACAGCCCAAAAACCTTTTAATATGAGGTAAACCCAGTTGTTAGTTCTTCGTAATACTTCCTATGTGATCGAGGTTTCATTCATGAAGTCTTTCTCTTCAGGAGTTTTAACTATTCTGTCGTCCAGTAGGTTAAGTGTTTCTGTTTTGATATTTAGATCATGATCCATTTCAATTTTAGTGTACTGCATCTGGCTCTAGGTATCTGTGTACCATGTGGAAAGCCCATTTTCCCAGCACCATTTATTACAGAGGAGGTCTTTCTTCCAGTGAAGGTATTTGGCCCCTTTGTCAAAGATAAGGTAGCTGAGTGTGCTTGGAGTGCATCTACTGTTCTGTTCTTGGGTGCTTTTGTTTTTCTTTTCAGATTGTTTTTTCTAGTACCATGCTGTTTTTACCACATGTACACATCATTTTTAATTTTACCAGTAATACCAGTACTTTCAGAGGTAAACATATACACAGTAGTATCCTATATGAGAAAAAGTTTAAAACATTGTATAATTTAATATAGACTTTTTTTCTGACAACTAACCACCTGGTGGCAAGTATATATTCATCCTCCATATGATACAGACTTCATGGAGATTCAATATCCCACCTTCGGAAACATGACTGCATCCTTCACATTCATATTTTCCCTTTAATCACTGCCACACTGCTCACTTATGACAGCCCTGGCGGTGTGCTATGAAAACATACTGTTTCAGGCAAAAGAAATAGCAACAAGAATATAAAGAAGCTCTCTTTAGTTTTTGTCTTGAGGTGTTTTTGTCTTCTCTTAATTGAAAGAACATTTTGAAGTAAGCACAAATATTTATCTTAGACTAAGAATACAATTTTTATACCAGATAGAATAAATAGGCCTTTTATTTTTGATGGGTTGCAAGGAAGAAATTGTATGTAATGTGCTTGCTTTGTTTTCTGTCTAAAAAGAAAAACAAGTAGAAATTTTAATATCGGTTCTCTCTTTAAGTCTTTAGACTCGTTTTCTGATGATTGCGCTTGCATTAACTGGATAGACACAAATACTTTTGAGAAATTGCCCATCAGTCTCTGCATATCTACAGACATGTAATTACTTTCTCTTTACGTTGTAGGAATGATTGCAATTAGTAGGATGGCTGTGCTATACCCTCAAGTCATTGTCGACCATCCATTTTTCTTTCTTATCAGGAACAGGAAAACTGGTGAGTGCGTTATAAGAATATTAGAACGCCTTAAAGAAATTTTGTATTTTATATTAAGGCCCCTCCCACCCACTATACTTGTTAGATTCCTTTTAAAGATTTGAGGGAGTGTCACTGTCTCTGTCTCTGTCTCTGTGTGTGTGTGTCTCTGTGTCTGTCTGTCTGTCTCTCTCTCTCTCATCATTTCTTCCCTTTCCCTTTCCTTCTTCCCTCCCTCCCTTCCATCTTCTTTCCTCTCTTTTTCTCCGTCTCTATCTCTCTGTTTATCTCTGCCTCTATCTCTGTCTCTATCTCTTTCTGTCTGTCTTGCTCAGTTTTGAGACCGTGTCTCACTATACAGTTCAGGCAGGCCTAGAACTCACTATGTAGCCCACTGTCACCTCAAACTCCCTACAGTTCGGATGCCTCTGCCCCTCCTCGTGCTGGGATTACAGGTGTGTGCCTTCATATCTGGTTTATTTTGTATTTTGAGACAGACTTTCTCTCAGTGGCTGAGTTGCTCGGGCTAGGCTAGACTTGTGATCTTTCTGTCTCTGCCTCCTCGTGTGCTGAGACTACAGTCATTCTTCACCATATCCACCTTAAATTATTTTTAAAATAAAAATTATTTTCATTGTTAAAGAATTTGCTAATTATAAGCAAGAAGAATAAATAACCAATTTTTATTCACCACCTTTTGTTCAATTCTAAATTTATGCAGGTACAATCCTATTCATGGGACGAGTCATGCATCCTGAAACAATGAACACAAGCGGACATGATTTTGAAGAACTTTAAATTACTTTATTTGAATAACAAGGAAAATATTAATGAAGCACATTATGTTTGCAACTGGTATATACTTAAGATTTGTGTTTTACAGTATTTCAGTGTTTTAAGGTGATATTTAAAATAGTTCTAGATAGAAACAATATATGTAAATTATAATTCAGCGATGTCAAGGAATGTTACCAGTATTAAGGAAATGGTCCTGTTGTGTCATTGTGCTTGTTGTGATGCTATTTAAAATAAAAGTACATACTGACCATGTGAATAGCTGTTTTTCATTTTAGAAACCATAAAATACAGACACCTCTAGGCTAAACTGGAGAACAATGATGTTTGTTTAGAAATCATAGAACACTGATGCCACTAAGTAGTAAGGAAATAGTGATTTTTTTTTTTGACCTCTTAAATCTTTCCTAACCCTGGATCATCAAAGCACCAAGTAAATTAGCAGTATACATTTATGTATAACAGGTAATAATATGTGAGGCGAAGCCAGGCACTCCACAAAAATCCAATTGTCATTTGTTTGGAATCTGTGTAAAGGGTAATACAGTACAAGAAACTGAACAACTTTTGTGTAGCTCCGGGACAAAACTTGTTAGAAAAAAAGAAAGCAAGCTATACTAACTCTGTAGACATTATTTGTTGATATGTTTATTATAGTACTATACTTTTTATTATTTATTTTTAAGTGTACTATTGTACATCTAGGAAATTTACTGTAAAACAGGGTTATCACTTAGATGCCAGCAGTGACCTCTTACACCTCCTGTTTGCACCATTGCTTGACTGCAGCAGGAGGCCCTGACCAGAGACTGACCTGTACCACCTGGTCTAGTGTAAGAATTCTCTCTGAAATTCTCATTAAGATGAAATCTCCTAATGATGTAGTTTTCAGAACATCCCTCACGTTAAGTAACATGTGACTATAATAGTTATTTAGATATATGTTTAATCTATACAAAATTAGGTCAATCAAAAGTATATTAAGTCAATGCTTCTTACGTTGAGGATCCTAGTAGATAGGGCCAAGGCTGTACATTTCTAACAAGCACCCCGGGATGCCTTTGCTATCTGGCACTTTGGTAGCAAAACTGCACTTGACATAAAGTTTGCACATTTGATATTCTTATAAATGGATCAAAAAGACTATAATTTTCATAGAGGTTGGAGAGGTTCAGGATGGGACAGTAAATTGCATGGATAATGGAATGCATTTGTCCAAAGCAAAGAAGGCTTTTACTCATAAAGTGTTTTTTTTTTCTATTATATACTATCCATAAATGTAAAATTCCTCAGCATAGTAGAACACTTAAATAATACTGTTTAAAAATATGAGGACATTTATAGGCAGTACCTATCTTTTACAGCTTATATTTTCAGAGGACTTATAAATTATATGAATTTATCAATTCATAAATCTTATCTTACTATAAATAGTGCTCTTGTTTTTTATAATTTATGCAAGTTAGCTTAACTGATATTGATTCAGTATATTCTTACTCTGTAATATTCTTCATCATTACATACCTGATAAACATTACATACATGGCTCTATCTGTATGTTCACTGGCCAAGTTAATATGTCACCTAAACAGAGGGACAAATATCATTAGACAATTGTGTGGATTTTAAAGATGCCAAAATACAATGTATAGTAAGCTCTCTTATTCAGAATGTTTATCTTAAAATATTTCAGTAATTTAGACACCAGAAAATAGGTAATCCCTGTTTTTAGCATGCTTGTGGACTGCTTAAAAATAATACTGAACAGTATCATGCTTTTCTTTTGTCTTTATTTTGTTTATAATTTGTTCAATACTTTCCTTTTTCTTAAAAAAGCAACATACTATACTTCAGTTGCATTTCCTTAAAATGAATGTTGCTAAATAAACACATACACACAGAGCATGCACAGTTTACCAAAGTTTTGAATCTTTATATTTGAGAGAATAACAGGAATTACAGATTTTTGCTTTGACTGGAAATCCTGATTTTACTTTTTTGTGTATGCGATAGGCTGGTCTGAATAATTACAAAGAATATAATCTTACACATTTTGTCATTCCTGCTAAACCAAACAGTTGGTAGAATCAGTCATAGCATGTGTTTCTTTGGATACTGGAAAAAATTGTTTTATGAAAACAATGAAATAAAGAGAAAATGTGGTGAAGAACATATTTTATTCTCATTAAATATGTATGGCATAATAATATAATTCACTGTTTTTAATATATAATCAGCTTCTTGAATTTATAATGACATCCATTTTTCTCATTTGAAAGCTAACTTCTTTTTCCACCAGAATAGCTTAGGGCATTTCATTTACTGGTCCAAGGTGACTTCAAATATATCTTTGTGAAATATATGTCTTTCTTGTACTCCAGAGAAAATAAGATGAATGATTATTTATAATACACAAAATGCTGAAAAAGTTGTAACTTTCCTATCCTTTCAGAGCCTCGTTATGAGAGAGAATCACTTAAAGACGACAAGAGCAGGTGAGATAGCCCAGCAGACTAAGCACCTGCTTAGACAAGTGCACAGTACCCAGTTTGATCCCTGGCACCACGTGCTGTGCTGGCCCTGCTCCTGGGCATGTTGAGCCAGTCACCGAGTCCGGGCGTGGTGGCACACACCTGTAATCCCAGCACTGAGGAGGCTGAACATAAGAGGATTACTATGAGTTTGAGCTACGTAGTGAGACCCTGTACCAAATACATTTTTTAAAAAAAAATGATAGACTTCAAGTTTCTTTAGTTAAAAAAGCCATAGTGGAAGGCTTTTTAGTTAACAGACTTTGTTTAAAACTTGCCCAAGGTATGGACCCCATAAAAACATTCCTATAAAGTTGTAATGCTTATGTGCTTCTAAACAATACGTTTTTTAAGTACTAGATAAAAGAAAAATCATATCTTCAGTTTGGCTACAATCATTATTAAAAAGAAATTCTAAACCCAACTTAGGAAGGAGCCCAAAGAGTTCTGCAGACCGTGTTCTCTAGGAAATGGTGCCATCACTAGGAGTGGTAGCATCCTTCAGGGGTGTGTGGTACCCGGACAAGGAAAGAGAGGCAAATAAAAGATCGTTCAAGTGCAGGCAAATCTCAAACTAGTATCCTCTAAATTCTTACCAATGAAAATGTGGGTTCCAACTACAAGGGAACCTTTCCTGACCTACTACCAGGAATTGTATCCTTTTAGCAAAGGGAGTAAATATTTTTCGAGCTGGACATTGAATCAGAAAGACATGCCATTACATTTCTATCAGGTTGTGTATCTGAGTGTGTGTGTATGTGGTGTGTATATGTAGCCATTGGGAAAATATATGGTAGTATCTAAGCTTATTTCTCATGACTTGATTTCGGTAATGTCTGGTATTTTTTTACGTGCTTATTTTTCACCTGTGCATTATCTTTGGTAATATCTCTGATAAAGATCTTTGGCCTATTTCTTTTATCAGATTATTTCATAGTTGCATTTAAAATTTCTTTCATATTCTAATTTAGTCCTTTGTCAAATATATGGTTCACAAGTATTTTCTTTCACTCTACAAACTTATCTTATTCTTTCAAAAATGTTTTTTACTAAATATACTCTAGAAATATTAAAGCATTGTTAGCTCAAAAGAAGTCTATTTTCTTAAAACTGTATTTTGGTGTTATAACACAGAGCTCTGTCTAATCTAATGTCAAAAACTATTTTCTGTGTCTTTCTTGTATAGTTTTATAGTTTTACCATTTAAATATAAGATGCACTTTGACTTCTATTTTGTAAACGTGTGGGGTGTAGCTTGGTTGATGTGCAGACATTACTACCCCACTGTTAGTGGAAAGACTTCTCTATAGAATTACTTTTCCAATTTTAACAAAACTTGGTGAACTATATTTGTGTGAGTCTATTTCTAGTCTCTATTCTGGAAGGCAGCCATGCTAACCACTATATAGCTAATGCCTCTGTAGTCTCCATTCTGTTCTATCAATCTATCTGTCCCTTCTGTAATGCCACCCACACTATTTTGATTATTGTATTTTAGAGTAAGCCTTAGAACTAGATAGTGTACATGGTCCAATTTTATTTTGTTTTAAAATTACTTTAGATTTTTGGTTAGCTTTCCTTTCCATAAATATTTTAGAATCTTCTCTACGTACCTGCAATACACAAAGCATAAAAGTTCAAAACATTTTTCCTGAGACTGTGTTAATTCTGTGGAAAAAGATTAGAATTGGTAATGATACTAAATTTTTCGGGGCTAGGGAGATGGCTCAGTAGAATAAGCATTTCCCTGGCAAGCACAAGGGTCTGAGTTCAGTCCTCATTTCCGAAGGGAAAAAAAAAGATAAATAAAAAACAAATTTTTAAATCAAGCCATAAAAATGATACATATTTACATTTAAGCATTTGTTTTATATTTTAGGTAAATATTTTTAGTCCATAGATACTGAACATATATATGTTGTTGGATTTATGATGATTTTATTTTCTGTAACTATTGGAAAAGACACTTCTAAAACTTTGGGAGCAGCAATTGTTAATTGTTAATTTCTAGTATGTAATGATTAATAGCTAGACTGTGTATACAGTGATTTTAAATCCCTCTATTTTAATAGCTGGGTAATTACTCAGAATTTTCTACATATATTATTATGTCACTTATTTTTACTTATGTATTTGGTACAGTGTCTCACTATGCAGCTCGGATTCATAGTGATCCTCCTGTCTCAGCCTCCCCTGCTCTGGGATTACAGGCATGTGCCACCATGCCCTGACTTGGTGGCCGGCATGGCTCACCCTTGGTATCAAGTCTGGTGCCAAGGATTAAATCTGGATCCTTGGGCTTGCCAAGCAGCCTCTTAGACCATCGAGCTATCTCCCCAGCCATTTTATGTCACTGATTTAAAAAAAATTATTTGGTACAAGGTCTCACTACACAGCTCAGATTCATAGTGATCCTCCTGTTTTCAGCTTTCCCAGTGATGGGATTATAGGCATATGCCACCACGCCTGACTCGGTGGCCGGCTCAGCATGCCCAGGGGCTGGGCTGGCACAGCCTGTGGTGCTGGGGAACAAACCAGTCCCTGAGCTTGCCTAAGCAGGTGCTTAGTCTACTGAGCTATCTCACTGGCCCTAATGTCACTTCTGATGAGAGATTTTTTTCTTTTATTCCAATGAATACGACTTTTTCTTAACTATTTAACTAGACCTTTCAGTAAAATTATGACTAATAGTAGTGATCACAGACATCCTTATTTTTTTGGAAT